GGTTCTTGGAGATTTCTTTGACTTGAAATGGCCTTTGTATGGTTTTCTGGCTCCATATTAGAGGAGAAATAAGTAAGGAAACAACATGTATTAAGGCCCGCTACGTACCATCCTTTCTTTGTAAATATCTCACCTGTATTATTCCCATTTAATCCTCCTAAAATCCATTTCAGGAAGATATTGTTATCATGTAGATGAGGAAACAAGCTCAGAAAAGAAATTTGCCCAAAGAAAGAACAGCTTGTAAAGGTGGATGCAAGCCTGGCCGCAGAGAACTGTTGCCGGTGGTGTTCTTAGTAACAAAAGGGATCAGGCCTGAGCGTGTGGACCACGCCACGGAAGCCATGCTCACTTTGGGTGGCTTTCTATTTATGAACACAGAACAGTCAAATGCCATGGCATATTTCCAGCATCTCTGAGCCCTGAAGGAAAACATCCATAAGGAGGAAAGCCTCCAGATAAAAGGTTGCCAAAAGCCAGGCTCAGTCTAAGGATGCACTAAGCTCTTTTAAGATGGCAATTTCGTGGTAATGAAGAGAGATGCCCAGGGGTGAAAATTGTTTTAGTTCTTGCAACCCTCAAAGAATTCTGACATTTTATTACCTGGCAGTAAAGACCTCTTTGGTTGAGATGGCTTCAGGCAAGGAGGATATTGTTACATGGCAAGCGAATCCACCAAGCAGCAGGAATGTGGCCTTTATCTGTCTCTCTTTGTATTTCCAGTGACAGAATGAGGCATAATATTTCCCTTTACTGAGATAACCTTTGTAAGGTTGCATTTTTCTGTGTGCTTTGGTTGCAGCCAGGACCTCCGCAGAAGAGCTGATATCTACCTGGCCCCCTCGTGTTCTGGGTAGCATTATCCGTTAAAAAGGCATCTGAGTCCCTTTGACAACTTGCTCCAAAATATCAGGGTAGAATGTCTCAGAGTCTTGAAATTTTTTGTGCATAGTACGTGGCTAGGGTTGAGAGTGAGGAGACACAAAAAGAAATGGCATTGAAATGCTTCTAAAATTCAATATATTAAATATTACAAACTATAGTCCCAAATACTATTATATATAAATGGGCTTATTGTCTAAGAATCAGGGAACACTGGTCTGACAGGCACTTTAAAAAATCACTATATGATACACAGACTCTTTAGGGGCATCTAATATTTGAAGGGTTTAATTATAAGTATGGCTAATATATACTTGTAGGGAGGGGAAAAGCATACCATTGTTACATGCAAATTTCTCAGCCTAGTCTCTCAGCTCTTCTATGTAAAGGGAATGCAGAAAAATCATAAAATAACAACAAAATTGTAATAACTATTTGCATCGCATGCTACCTGTTTAGAGTACACCTTTATATCCTTGTCCCAACAGCACTGTGAGATAGATGGAACCAATGTGCTGGTTCCATTTTACAGATGAGAAAACTGAGGTTCAGCAAGAGGCTTGACTTATGCAAGGTCACAGCTAGAGAGTGAAAGAGATGGGACTCGACGCTGGACCCTCCAAAGCCACTGCGGCCTACTTCCTACCACACAGTGCTGCTTCTATCTGAAATGGGTCCTGGGGGGTGACAATCCTGTCCTTCCCAGTCCCACATTCAATCTTGACTCTGGGCCCAATGTTCAAGGCCAGCCCACCCCAAGGCCTTTCAGTTGTCACCTCTGGTTCTGTCATTCACAGCCCAGAAGGGAAATTCCAGCCGGGATTTCTCAAGTCCGTATTTTCTCTCTCTCCCAGGTGACTCCATGGCCTACCACAATGGCAGGTCCTTCTCCACCTTCGACAAGGACACGGACTCAGCCATCACCAACTGTGCCCTGTCCTACAAGGGGGCTTTCTGGTATAGGAACTGTCACCGCGTCAACCTGATGGGGAGATACGGGGATAATAACCACAGTCAGGTGAGTGGACCGTGAGGGTACAGAGCAGGCCAGGCCTGGGAAGCGGGATGGGGCTGATGGGAGGACAATCTGAGCCCTCCGTCCCGGCACACGCTGGGAGGTGAGAGCCTCAGGTGTGTGAGAGCACTCTTCTTCCCAGCGCAATGAGAAACCTCAGTGATACTGCGCACCAGGCAAAACAGAAACTGCACATGTGAACCTTGGGGATCCCAAGGAGAACCACTGGTCAAATGGATCCCAAACTCAGCAACCCCAAAGTTAAAGCAGATAAGAGCGGAGGCCATGTAGGTAAAGCAGGGATGATGCAGACCCTGGCAGAGCCCTGGCCCAGGGGCACCTTCAGAACCCCCAAAACACATTGAAGTCCACAGACTTTTCATGCCTTCACTTTATGAGAAGACCAAGGCCCAGAGAAAGCTGACTTTCTCGAGGTCACAGAGGGAAGTTGGAGGCAGAGCCCTATTCTCCACCTCCAGCACCCCCCAACCTGGCATTTTCCCTGTGCCACACACAACTCTAGACAACTTCTGCAGTCACAGAAATGGATGTTTGAGGTCCGCTTTAGAAACAGGAGAGCGAAATGAATTCAGTAACCCGCACTAGCATATGCCTGCAAAGTGACACAGTCAGGTGGGACTGGCCACTTAATCTTGGCCAAGCCCCCGTCTTGGTCCCTTCTCAGAAGCTCGTCCCCCCTCCCTAGGGAGGAGGGGTGGGTGTTCTCACGGGGCCACATGACACTGATCCCTGGACCGCATGGATTCTCACGAGGTTTTCTCATTGGGGTCCCAGGGGCTTTGTAAAACTGCAACAGCCTAAATTACACCTTACGACCCCAGGGATTCTGATTCGATGACCTCCGGTGGGATGCAGCATCTCACATCTTTGCATATGTATATTTTTCTGTTGGTGGTTTTTGGGGTTTTTTTGGCAGGCTCCGCAGGTGATTCCAGACCTGCAGCCAATGTTGGGACCTGCCGTTCTCCACTGTTAGTCATCCTGATACATGTGTTTACGCCACAGTTAACTGCTAGCAAATGACACCTGGACCTTAAATGTAGCTCTTACCTTGACACAATTTCTGACACGTTTCAAAGTGTTCTCACCTTCTCTGTGTCATGTGCTTCTCACCTTTACCCCGAGAAGGAATCAGGACGTGGTTTTCGTGCCTGTGTGACAGAGAAGGCAGGAGTTAAAAGACACCTCTTGACACCTGTCCTGTGCTCTTTCCCCCTTATGACGTTACCTCAATAACGCTTCCACTCTGGGCATTATTCCACCACCTTGACTGCTCTGTCCCCTAACATTAGCTAATACAAAGTCCTTCTGGAAAAAAAAAGGTACACATCAAAAAGGAAGCCTCTTTTTCCATCCTTCCATTCCATTTTGGAAGAAGAATGAGATGACACAGGAGGCCACAAAGGAGTCACAGGAGTTCAGGCCCAGCTCTGGCTCTGCTCAAGTCCCTATGTGGCCTCTGTGAAGTCACTTTCCCACTCTGGCTTCAGTGTCCACCACAGCACAAGGAGGGCTTGGCTTCCTGCCCTGAACTGTTAGAGGAAGGAACCAGGGTGGAGGAAGGCAGCACGTGGCCCAAGCTGTCGGCCGCAGTACCTCACCGTAACTGAGTGATTACAATAGGCACATTTGCCCATGAAGTGAACTGGCCATTCTTAAGCCTCACCTCCCTGCTGGACTCAGAGACCACCCCATGTCAGTGAATGCCAAACAATTAGAAACAAATAAAGCATCTTTATTTTCTCCTTCATTTCACTAGCTCTTAACTTGCCCATGGACATGTTGGTTCACAGCCCCATGCAGGAAGAGGAGAGGGGTCAGTGTCTGGGGGTGGCCACTCAGGAGGACTCTCTGCAGCCACAGAGGGGCAGGGGGCCATGTGGGCCGTCAATGTCTGCCATCTGTAGAATGAGTCTCTTTGCTAAAGAGTCAAACATGGATCCTGGAAGCCCAGACACAAATCTGGTCTTTTCTTGTAGAAATCTTTGGCCAAACTTTCAGGGATATTTCTCCCAACTTGAAATTAAGGAAGTAATATTAGCAAAGAACCTAAAATGTGCCCAGCACTGTGACAGCTCCCTTATAAACTCATTTAATCTTCATACCATCTTTCATGTTTGGCATTATCAGACCTTAAGAAAGAAAGAAAAAACATAGAAAAACTGCGACCCAGAAAGATTTGATAACTTGTTTAACACCATTTATCTCTTAAGTAAGAGCATTCATATTTAACCTTGTATGTCAAGTGGCAAAACTTGTGTTTCGCCTATGTTCTTTCCTCTATTCCATACCAAACCCCTGTAAAGATAGTTCATAGAAATCCTGTGAATTACAGACACATGCACACACACATACCCTGTATATAGCTGCTCAATAGTGACTTAAATTCCTTTAAAACTTATTCCTACACATGGCAAGTTTCATTGGCCACCATTTTGTTTCAAGATGGCAGCCCAAAGTCAATGCAAACTCAGGTGACTCTTGACAAGGGTGAAAAATTGGGTCAGATTCAGCCAGACTCTTTGAAAGTTTTGACCACACAGGCAAACAGAGAGATGAGCAAGAGACAGCTCTGATATGCCAAATGGCCAAGTCAAAACAGAACTCGTTTTGTTTGAACAACTAAGTAGCAATGATCGGTGAACACCTTGCCTAATGTAAACCAACATGGAGGCCTTCTCTTTTGTACAGGGTGTTAACTGGTTCCACTGGAAGGGACATGAATACTCAATCCAGTTTGCTGAGATGAAACTGAGACCCAGCAACTTCAGAAATCTCGAAGGCAGGCGCAAACGGGCATGAATTCCAGGGACCACTGGGTGAGAGAGGAATAGGGCCCAGAGAAAGGAACGGATTTTACCAAAGCATCAATACAACCAGCCCAATTGTCAGTCCACACCTGGGCTTCTGGCAAGAGTCAAAGTTGACCATGGATCACTGCGGCCAGCGGCAACTGCACGGCCTCACCTACTCTGCGATTACCTTCTTCGCACCAAAGACACTAGTCTCCAGCAGGTTTCTGTTTTGTTGTTTGATTCAGCAAAACTCTTCCAGTGACAACATCACAATGGTTTTTACTTCTCTTGGGTGGCTCTGGGACTGGGGAGGGGTAGGCTGTACAGTGGTAGTTTGTTTTAGAACCAGCTGTATTTTACACAAAGCCGTATAATTAATTATTTTTGTTAGCAAAGATTAAATGTGTGTCATTGGAAGCCGTCCCCCTTTTTTTTTTTATATTTCATACAACAGAAACCAGAAAAGCAATATTGTTTCAATTTTTAAAATATGATTAATATTATTAATATAATAATGATGATGAAAACTAAGGATTTTTAAAGAGATCTTCCTTTCCAAAACACATCTGGACGTTACCTGATTGTATTTTTTGTTTTTTAATAAAAGCACAAGTACTTTTGAGTTTGGCTGTCATTTTGCCTTTCATCGTTGAGTCTGGATTTCACCAAAGCCAATAATTTGAACAAAGGGAGGAATACTGGACAGGAGAGATAAGGAGGGCTGGTGGTCCAGTGGGAGGAGGAGAAGAAAGACCAAAGGCTAGGAGAGAGATCACTTTTTTGAACAAAGTTGAACACAACTGGAAAAAGCTTACAACTGAAAATCCAACTTTTTGTCCACATTTCCAAGTCTAATGGTTTATGGTTTAAAAGATACTTTATACCCATTTTCTAATGTAACTTCCTAGAAATTCTATGATTTGGATGTGATGAGGGCCATCATCACGCAAAGTTTAAGATCCCCAGAGGCAGACTGCCTGGGTTCAAATCTGGGCTCCAGCATTCATTCCCAAGTTCCCTAATCTCTCCATGCCTCAGTTTCCTCATCTGTAAAGGGGGGATACTCACTCTTTTGTTTCACAGCATTTCTGTGAAGAATAAATTGCATCATCCATATAAAGCCCTCAGCGTGGTGCCTGGCACGTATTAAGAGCTAGCGTCAGCTATCACTGCTATCGCTTTATACGAGACGGACTGGGCTTCAGAGCCAAGCAGTGACTTGGCTGGAGCTATTACCCAACAAATAATAGAACTTGGATTTAAACCCAGGCCTTCTGGCTCCAAGGTTCCTACTCTCTTCCAGGTCCCTGATGAAACTCTCTCCTTCCCTGGGGAAATGTGTGCATGGTGAAAGAGTGCGGGTTGCAGAATGGGGGCTGTGGGGGAACTTCGACAGGACCCTTCATTGTGCTCCTACAGTCCTGAACTCTTAGAACCAGGAAGCGTGTCCGTTAGGAATACCTCCTTCTCTCCTGCAGCACAGCCCCCTGCAAGAAAGAGAGCCCAGTGTCCCCCCAGCCTCAGCCTGAACACGTCCAGTAATGGGGAACTCATTGCCTGGTACAGCAGACAATAGAGTGAGTCAGAACCGCACAGCGCACAACATTGCCCTTTTAAAACAAGGGTATGTCGGGGCAGAGTGATTCCCAGTTCATTCTCTTAGGGATTTTCAGCAAACTGACTTATTTAATGAAAACGTTTGGACTGATAGGCCTCGTTCAAATGGAATGTGATGGCTCAGAAGCGAGGATCAGAGGAATTCGTGGCTCCAGCCATATCCTCTGTTGCAGAGTTCATCTTGCTTTACTAAATGCTGTCATGTTATATACACAATTTGCTGTTCCAGATCATAAGACCTGGTGCATACAATTCAGCCATAGCAACACTCTCCTGGCTGCATAAACCCAAACAAATGGGCTCCCTGTAACCACCGAGCCTTAAGTAGGAGGCTTAACTCTCCACTGGCTGCTGACCCAAATCCTACCCCTCTCCAGGACTGTGGATATACTTAAGCTGTTAAGGGATTCCCCAGAAGCCACACAAGAATCGAGCTCTGAATGGTAAGAGGCCACCTCAAACAGGAGTCCTTAATCACGGCCTTGGGAAGGTTGTAGAGGCCTCAACCGGGACAGGGCAGGCAGCAGGGCCTTAGGCCATGGTATTCAAAGACCTCACCTGGCAAATGCAAGTTCACCACTTCTCAAACCATCCTTCGTCTCTGGCTCTGTGGCTTGGCTCCATCAACCTCCTCCATCTTGAAAGGCCTCTTAAAATTCCACTCCAGCCTCAAGGTCAGGGCCCCATCCCCGCCCCTGTGAGATAGGCAAAGCGTCTCTATTGAGAATTGATTTCCAGGCTGTTCAGTCTTCCCTTCAATCCGTCCTCCATCTGGCCCCTTCCTCCTCCCTGCTCTGTGCCCTGCAAGGCCACCCCGTGTGGATTGTGGCAATGTCCCCAGCTTCCAGGAGGTCATGGCATTTGTGTCCTAGGTCCATCCCTACAGCATCACTGTGGGCGGCCAGTTCCCTCATCAGAGTCACCACTGCTGTCCATGGACAGTCTCCGTGCAGCTGTCTTCGGGTTTCAGATGACGGCTCCTGAACCTGCCCCTTCCAGTCTGGGATGGCCGCTGCGTCCCGTGGCTGCTAGATCTGGGGAACTGGGCTGGCCTTTGTGGCCCTGCTTCACCTGCCTGCACCTTTAGAAATAGCCCCTGTACTCCAGCTCTCCTCAGGGTCCCTGACAAGCCAGGCCTGCCCACGATCAGGAACACTTGGGCCCACGATCAGGAACACCTGTGCCCTCGGTGCCTGCTTGTCCGTTATATTCTGACCTCCTGCCCCTCTCCTTACAGCAGCCATTGGTCATATAATGGCTTTCCAGTATCCAAACTTCTTTCTAGTTCAGACAATTTAGCAATGGGTGAGGCCCCTGGTCCCGCCATGGAAGGCACAGAGGGAAACACTCTTTTCTCCTCCCCTTGGTGGCCAGGGAACGGGCATAAAACTTGGGCTTTGCCAATTGGATACCTACAGAGGGCCTTTGAACCTTGGGCAAGGCGTGCAAAACAAAGAGCCTATGGGACTGCCTTTCCCACAGTATCTAGCAACGGGCCATCTGTGAGTGGGATCTGTGACCACGTCCACAGCAGGGTATAGCAGTGTCTTTCTTTGATGGTGACAATCATTTCCAGCAGTGACAAAGGAGTACTGGCCGATGAGCCCTGCTACCTGCCCTCCTTTGGTTCCTGAGAATTTTCTGTGCCTGCTTCTTCAAATTTCCTGTTAACTTTACAAGCTTCCTGATATCCTTCCAGAAAATTCCTTTTCTGCTTAGGTAGTCCCAGATGATTTCTGATGCTTGCAGTCAAATGCCTGGACTGATACGCCCCTCCCCTAGGCCAATGATCCCTCATGTTCATTGCCTCTCCTGTAGACCCAGCATTGTGCTTGGCGCTTTAAATAGTTGAAGTCATTTGAGCATCACAGTCACCTGTAAGACAGGTAAAACCATTCCATTTTATGCAGGAAACTAAGCTTCAGAGGGGTCATGTGGCTTGCCCACAATCACACTCTGCTGTTGGAACAAGATTTAAAGCCAGCTCGCCTGATTCCAAAATCCAAGTTCTCTGCAGCGAGGATATCTTATTCATGCCAAAAACCACACCAAATGGAGAACAGCACTTCATTCATTTATTAAATGCTTGTTAAACACCCCCCATGGGGAAGGGATTCGCCAGAGAAAAAAAGAGAAGATCCCTGTGATCAGGGAATTTAAATTCTAGCAAGGAACAATGAACGATGAAGGTAATAAATGAGCCAACGGAATGATGCAGTTAAAGGCAGTGAGTGCCGTGGGAAAAAGGACCAAGTGTAACAGGATAAGGGTGTGAGGGTGCCAGAGCAGGGGGCATGTCCCAATGTTAACACAAGGTGACCAGACAAGGCGAGCCTATGAGAAGGACTCGAAGCAGGAACAGAGGACATAATCGATGAGTATTTGTTGCATTGAATTATTGTTCATTTCCCTCATTTTAGAGAAGGGAAAACGTCCGGAGGAGAACAGGGACTGACCCAGGTACCCCAGCAATCTGGCAGTAGATTCTGATAAGAAGCCAGTGGCTTGCCCCTTGTGCATGGCTGTCTGTCCTGCAAAAGGAGGGAAACATTTCGGGCACTTCCTCACTGAGCTTCCCGGGAGCTGAGATCTGTCAAACACCTGTCTGCGCAGCCCAGCCCTATGGGACTATGATCCTACCTTCCTCCTCCTCAGCTCGTCCTACCCACATGGTTCTGCCCACCACACCTTGCTGGAAGCTCCTTGTGGGCTTGGCCAATTGGTCCTCTTCTCCCAAGATTTTCATTTCTTTTCTCATTTAAAAATCAGTATTGAGTACCCACCCACCCCTAATATGCCCAGCACTAAGTAAAGGAAATCATAACCACAGTCCCTGCCTTTGTGCAGCCTCCCTGCCAGGGAGGGGCTGGCCACAGTCACATGATCAGACAAGCAAATGTCTAATCCCAAACCAAGTGCAGCGCTTTGGAAGCCAATACCAGGAATTATGAGGACCTCTAATGGGACCTGACAGGGAGGGGTCCCTGAGGAAGGGGCATTTGGTTGTTTTGCTTTTTGAGACAGTCTCACTCCATCACCTCGGGTAGAGTGTAGTGGCATCATAGTAGCTCACTGCAACCTCAAACTCCTGGGCTCAAATGATCCTCCTGCCTCAGCCTCCTGAATAGCTGGGACTACAGGCATGTGCCACCATGCCCAGCTAATTTTTCTCTTTTTAGTAGGGACGGGGTCTCACTCTTGCTCAGGCTGGTCTCAAACTCCTGAGCTCAAGCAATTCTCCTGCCTCTGCCTCCTAGAGTGCTACGATTACAGGCATGAGCCACTACACTCAGCCAGGAAGGGGCATTTGAACCAAGATCTGGACAGCAAGTAGGAGTTAAGCAGGCAAAGGAATCAGGGCAGACAGAAGGCAGAGGACAAGGGACCTCTGTGGCCCTGAGGCTGCAGTGGTCACCAGGAACCAGGCTGGGCTAGAATAAGGATTTTGATCTGTTTCTTTAATGCAATGGAAAGCTACTAATGACTATTAAGCAGGGGATTATTACAATCACATGTTTGGGGGGTTTTTTTGACCATCTTTTTGTTGCAGTGTGGATTTGGGCTAGGAAGTGCCAGGTGGGAGGAGACCCATGAAGGAGCAGGAGTCCAGGTGACAGGTGCTGGAGTTCGGCTAAGTGTGGTGTTGCAGAGATGCAGCGTATGGTTCTGAGAGATGTTTCGAAGGTAAAACTCACAGGACTCGGAGCCCAGGGGAGCTTCTCCGTGTCCTCACCATTGTTCCCGAGCTGCCCTCGATTCCCACCGGAGACTTTTCCTGGACACAGGTGTCAGTTAGGGCATCAGTGGCAATTGAGTCAGGCTAGTTAGGGATGTGGGGAGCTGGAGTCAAGGCCCCCTTAGCTCTAGGGCCTGGGAGGCTGCAGGGCCTGGGAGCACTGGGTAGGGGTGGAGAAAGCAGGGAGGCTCCTCCAGGTGGCTGCAGTTAGAAATGAGGACCAGTGGTGAGGCCAAGGGGAGGCCTGTGGCTGGAGGCAGAGGGTGAGG